TAAACCCTGTACAACACCTTGAACTGGATAAGTTGTAACCTGGCACAGGACGTACTGTAACGGACATTGGATACTGCTTTCTCCCATTGCTGATCCGAAAAAATTACTCCTAACTCCCGCTCCCAAGCCCCCCTAATTTTAGCAACTGAATGGACATTTAAATCCATAAGTTGTTTATATATTAAAGATATAATTGACTTCTTATTGGGTTTGAGGGATAAGAATTCCTCCCACGGTTGGACATTTGGAAGAAGAGGGTAGGAGGGGAAGAGAGCAGAAGTGCAATGCCGTGCCTGAAAATAACGGAATAGATTGGTAGCCGGAAGATTTGTTTCTGAACACAGGTCTAAAAAAGTTAAGAAAGTGCCATCTTTATAGAGATCCTTAAACGTATTAATACCATGACGCTTCCACTGTACATAGGCACCATCAATGAGGCCAGGAGTAAACAGATGGTTCTGCATGATGGGCATGTGTACTGACGCAGAGACGTACTTAAAATGACTCAAAACACAGTTTATGGTCAAGTACCACACCTAGATATTTATAACTCTCAACGATCCCAATATCGGCAGTTTTAATGATATTGGGTGATGAGCTATAAGAGGACTTCCTAAAATCAATAATCATGTCTTTAGTTTTTGACACGTTAAGTGAGAGGAAGGACTCATCACACCAATTCACAAAATCATCTACAACCTGTCCATGGCCTGACTCGTCCCCCACTAGAAGACTGACGATCACTGTGTCGTCAGCAAACTTCAGGATGTGTCTGTTTGTGAAATTGCTGCGACACTCATTTGTGTACAGAATGAACAGAAGGGGAGAGAGGCAACAACCCTGGGGTGATCCAGTAGAGGAGGAGAGCACATCAGAAAAGACATGATTTACCCTCACACCTATTGATCAGAAAGTCTGTCACCCAGCCGACCAGACTAGTGTCAAGCTTGAAATGATTGTAAAGCCTGTCAGCAAGTAAGAGGGGTTGAATTGTATTAAATGCAGATGAAAAGTCAGCAAATAATAATCTTGCATGGGTGTGGGGGGCCTCAAGATGCTTATACAAGAGATGCAGGAGTGTGACAGCAGCATCCTCCACACCTCTCCCTGCTCTATAGGCAAACTGGAAGGGGTCAAGATGGTGTTCAACATGCATTAAAATCTCCTTCTTAATTATCTTCTCAAATGTCTTCATCACTAAAGAAGTCAGAGCCACAGGCCTAAAATCATTCAGTGCCTTAGGAGAACTGCCCTTAGCAACAGGAACAATGATCGCATGTTTCCAAATTTTAGGTACCATCTGTAGCTCTAAAGAAAGTGAGAAGATATAGTGAAAAATCCCACTCAGCTGATCAGCACAAGTTCTCAGTACCTGTCCACAGATGTTGTCAGGTCCAGGACTCTTGCTTTTGGTATGTCTAAAAAGATTAGCTACCCCTGTCTCATCAATACAAATAGATGGGGGAGTGATGGTCTTTTCCCTCAGTGTGCTGGTCTGCCTAGAACAATCATAGTTCTCAAAACGAAGGTCTGTCTGCCAGATATTTGTCAGAGGTAAACCCCTCTAAGGTAATGCTGCTTTTACCTTTCGTCTGAAGCCCTGCCATTGTTTTCATACCAAGCCAAGCTCTTTTGAGGTTGTTACTGCTGAGTTCTGCCTCAATCTTATTTCTATACCTCATCTTGGCGATCTTTATTGCAGCCCTCACCTCCTTCCTCAATATTCTCACAGTGGGAACGTCTCCCTCGTTAAAAGAAATTTTCCTTTTAAGAATCAGATCCTTAATATCTTTAGAGAGCCACGGTTTGTTATTAGGGAAAGTCTTAAATTCTCTGACTGGAACCACAGAGTCTTTGCAAAAAGAGATGTAGCAACACACCACATCAGTGAGTTCATCCAAATCAGAAGTGCTCTCTTGAAACACGGACCAGTCAGTGCAATCAAAACACCCCTGAAGGGCAACACAACTGTCTTTTGTCCAGACATTAGTCCGCTTCACACAGGCCTTCTCCCTCCTAATCACAGATCTGTAAGCAGGGAGGAGGTGAATAACATTGTGATCCGAAGAACCTAGCGCAGGTCCGGCCACAGACTTGTATGCCCCCTTAATTGGTCCATAACACAAATCCAGCGTTTTGTTATGCCTTGTAGGACAAGTGACATATTGAAAGAAATTGTTCAGTGATTTCTTAAGATTACAATTGTTAAAATCACCGAGAATAAAATTAGGAGCATCCGGTGAGAGAGTCTGCAGATTGTGTACCACTTTAAAAATGGCATCAGCAGCAACTTTAACGTCAGCCTTAGGATGAATGTAAACAACAGTGACAAAAATTTGAGGGAACTCCCTCGGTAAGTAAAAAGGCCTGACAGATACTGAAAGGAGCTCGATGTCAGGAAGACACAACCGCTCCCGCACAGTAAAATTATTACACCAGCCCTGGTTGATATATAAACAAACCCCTCCGTGAGATTTGCGTGTTACTCCACAGTTCCGATCCAATCTGACAGGGGTCCCAAAGCCGCTGATTCGCAGTGAAGTGTCACTGTCCATATCGGTCAGCCATGTCTCGGTAAGCGCCATCAGACAAGCCTCCCTGTATTCCCGTAGATGAAGCACATTCCCTTGTAATTCATCCGTTTTGTTCCTAAGAGATTGGACATTGGCCAGAATCATAGAAGGCAGAGGAACACGATTCTTCCTCCAAGTTTTCTTACACGGTGACGCACGCCGCCTTTCTTTCCGCGTTTTCTCAAGCGGCGGGGCTTTCCAAAATTAGTCTTTGACCGGGGAAATAAATCCTCACCAAGAAGCACATCTGGTCGAGCATTAGAAGAGTCGTACATAGACAAACAGGACCACCGTAATCCAAGTAGTTCCTCGCGTGTATAAGTGATTGTCAGTGAGAGTGAATGACTCCAGGTGAATATCGCCAACAACAATAAAACTAAGGTGTAGAAGATCTCCATGTCGGCAAAAAGTTAAAACCACGGTTAAGAACAGAGTTAAAACAAAGTTAAAAACAAAAAGAGAAAGAAAATGCCAATAAATGCCAATAAACACCTGCTGCAGGTCGCCACAAGAGCAGCGCCCGTCTCACAGCTGACCTGGACTCCAAATCCTCGCATTTATTCTCCAATGTGGCCAACTCCTTTGACATCGCATCCACTTTGGCTTGGAGGTGGACAATATCATCCGTGCATGTGGAGAGAGACTGTTCCATCTCCATAACTGTGCTCCTGAGGCCAGCGAATTCCTGCCGCATGGTAGTTATATTTGAGGAAAGGTCCGTTTTTAGTTGCTGTATATCGGACCTGATAGACGTGAGATTCTCCGCAAACGCTGCCGTCAGTTCCTTTTTAAACAGTGCTGAAATTTCTTCACGAAGTTCAGAGAGGAGTTCAGCCTTCGTGAATTTTTCCGTATCGACGAGCGGCGTGTCGGGTGACCCAGGCAGTGGCGAAGTTTTACCACGAGGCGGGGATGCAGTGTTAGCAGCAGGCTGCAAGTTCGGCTGAGAGGTGCTTGCGCTCTTATTAACATTGTAAACACAAAAAGCAAAAACAGTCTTGTCTCGTAAATATACAAAAAGAAAAAACCCGTCAAAATGTGCCTGGAAATGCTAGATAATAACTAGACTCTGCAGGAGCTACGCTCGGTGCGACCTACGCCATAGTCACATAAACCGGAAGTGTGTCCTGCTACCTTATTACGCTACTGAATCCGTTTGAGTGATTTGAAATCATGACATTTTCATCTTCATACATAGAGAGAAATATTGGAGAATTCTGCAAAACCTCAAATCACAACCAATTTTGTTTTTCTTATTATACCCTCACTGAACACTTAATAAAGTTTTGTTATATCTGTCTATCCTTGCTAAAAAATAGCCAAACCAATATCTATTACAAATTTTCCTATGATAATATATGCCTTTCAACAAAAATAGATTTTGAAATAATGAGCAGAAACCCATCCAATCCAGTAGCAGTCTAGGATTTGTAATAACTTCACAGCTTGTGAACCAAGTGTAAGCAGCATTTTAGCTGTCTTGAAACTATGACCTGTGAATGTGTATGTAGGTTACACAGTAACTGTACACTGGTAACTGTTATGTTATTGTATGCACAACAAGAGAGAATTTTTAGATACCACGCTGTGGCCCAGATATACAGAAGGTTTTCTTTGGTATCAGGTACCCGATGCACCAGCCTATTACACTGGCCAGAAGATATAATGAACAAAGGAAGGCCAAAAAAAAAAAAAAAAAGCACAAAGATTCCAGGACCAGAAAGTGCACCAATCCAGTCTCTGGGATTTTAAACCTTTGCAAAAGCACTGCCTGCCCTTCAAACTCAGTCTTTAAATTTTCTGTAAAAAGGGACTATTATCTCTTGCCAGCTGATATTGCAGTGGCAAGTTTGCCAGGGTATTGACACCAACGGATACCTCATGAGTAACAGGGAGTTGACAAAACAGCCTTAGGGTGAGTTACCTCTAATTGCTCCTTAATACTTCCACTTTCATCGTGTAAAGATTCACTGCTCACATTTAACCTTCAGGTAAAGTTCGCTTTGATGCTAGTACAAGAGTAGAAATTAAATGTCCTCTATTTCAATTTTCCTAATTGCTCTTTTTGCATGCAGACATTTAGTCCTCATAAAGACAGAGATTGCATCATCTACACACACACACAACTCAAAAGCACCTAAGCTAAGCAGAAAATACAACCTCTGGGAAATAATTGGCATGCAGATACAAAACAAGATGGAAAAGTTGGGAGGATCAGTGAGCTGCTATCAATCAAAAAGACGTGTTAGCTGTGAGAGTAGGGCAACGTTGCCCGATGTAATCTTAAATGTGTAGTAATCACTGACTTCTGGATCAAACACACACTATACATGTGCACTATATATATTATATTTAAAGTACATGCAGGAAAATCTGTATTGTGAAAACTATATGCATCAAAGTGCTGCACACAGTTTTGAAGCATACCTGGAACAAAGCTCCCCTGCACCACCTCCTTGTATGCCCACCATCCTTCATGAATTTTTGGTGGATTTGGCTGTGCTAAAGGGGGAGAGAAGAGACACAGCAACAGGGACATCAGTTACTTGTATCTGAAATGTAAACAATGAAGCAACGATGATTTTTTTTCCCCCAGCCTAACTGTAATATACTCTGTTAAACTCTTATAAACAACAGGGCTTAGGAAATAGTTTCAACCTAAACGCACACATGTGTATACACTTAGCAAGCTGTTGTGTGATCCAATGACTCCATAGACATTAGTACAAATTTTATTATTTTATGTTGTGTCAACTGTAGACAAAGGACTGGAAGGCAAAGGCCTAGAAGTCTGGGCACAAAGAAAAAGTTGTGAGTGAGAATTACTTTTTTTGGAATCATACTTTTTTGGATCTTAATTCCCCCACAACCCCAACTCTTCATTTACTAATTAAACACCAAAATTAAGGCCTAATTTAATGTCGAGATGTTGTCCTGATTGTTTCTCTTTAATGGATGTTGAGGTGGTTGAACAACCCTCTTCCTTCTGTTATCACTTCCAAAATCCTTGTTGCAGTAACACTGGAGAGCAGGTTCAATTTCATTGGAGTTGGCCTAAAGCATTGCATCGACCAACCAAATAGGACTATGTCAGTCTTTCCAGACTATTAGAAGACTGCACCCTCTGCCCAGCTCTTCTAGACTGGCAACCCCCCCCCAAAAGAACCCAAAAAGACCTAAATTGCAACAGGTTTCTTTTTATGTAGTCTGTTTTATTGCTTTTGGCTAATGCTACTACCATGAGACTGACGAAGACGGAATACACACTGATCTCTTTATTCGTGTTAAAAAAATAATGCAACTAACATCAGTGAGGTTACTGGTGACCCATTTACAGCGATATGCAACAGTTTGGGCATCCCTGATAATTTTCATGATTTTCCTTCATAAATCAGCACTGTCATCTAATTATATCATATAGCAAATGAACACAATGATATTTAAGTGAAATTAAGTTTATAGGACTTACAGAAAGTGTGCAATAGTTACCTAAACAAAATTAGGCAGGTGCATAAATTTGGGCACCCCAACAGAAAAATCCACCACAGATTTTCAAGTTTTTCAATATTCAGGTCTGGAGATGGCCATTCCAGAACATTGTACTTGTTCCTCTGCATGATTGCATTAGCAGATTTTGAGCAGTGTTTAGGGCCATTGTCTGGTTGAAATATCTAGCTCAATATCCGGCACAACTTCAACTTTGTCACTGATTCTTGAACGTTGCTCTCTGTATTATTGTATGGTATACCTTACAATATAAAGTGCCTCGAGGCGACTGTTGTTGTGATTTGGCTATATAAATAAAATTGAATTGAGTTGAATTAAAAGAATCTGCTGATATTGACTGGAATCCATGGGACTCTCAACCTCAAATTTTACTGTGGGTAGCAAGTCTTTCTCTTGGAATGCTGTGTTCTGTTTCCTCTTGTTATGCCCAAATAACTCAATTTTAGTTTCATCAGTCCACAGGACCTTATTCCAAAATGAAGCTGGCTTGTCCAAATGTGCTTTAGCATACCTCAAGCCACTCTGTTTGTGGCATGTGTGCAGAAAAGGCTAATTCTGCATTACTCTCCCATACAGCATCCCCTTGTGCAAAGTGGGCTGAATAGTTGAATGATGCTGGCCACCTTAAATACCCTTTCTCATGATTGGATTCGCCTGTGTGTGTAGATCAAGGATCAGGGAGCTTACCAAACAAATTTTGTGTTCCAATAATTAGTGCTAAAGGTATTAAAATCATTAAATGGCAAGGGTGCCCAAATTTATGCAACTGTATTTTGTTTAAGTAACTATTGCACACTTTTTGTAAATTCTATAAAGTTTATTTCACTTCTCAAATATAATTTTGTTCATCTGCTATATGATATATTGCTGAAATTGCTGATCCAAACAACCAATGATTTATGAAGAAAAATCATGAAAATTATCAGGGATGCCCCAACTTTTGCATACCACTATACTACCATGTACTGGAGAGCTGTATTCCCTGAACCTTTTACTATAAGGTCACAGTGGTAACGACGGCACTTACAACCAGCTGGGGCCATTCTGTGTCTAGTTTGCAAGCTCACCATGTGCCTCCATGGGCTCTCTCAAGACATTAGGTTTACTGGCAAATTATAAATGGCCAGTAAACCTAATGACCACGAATCATTGTTTGCCTCTGTGTGCTCGCATAGTGATTGTTCGGGGTGTACCTCGCTTGCGAGCACCTTGCAACCCTGAATTGTATAAGTGGAAGAAAACGTATGTATAGATAGATGTTGGGAAGTTAGTCAGATGGACATCATAAAAAATATCAAAACTTCTACAAAGCTGATTAACTTTTGATCAGAAACCACACACACACACACACACACACACACACACACACACACACACACACACACACACACACACACACACACACACACACACACACACACCTCAACAGTGCTGATTTGATTTGAAGAAAATAGTTTTACCATTGGCTCCAGAACTTGGTGAACCATAACATAATTAATTTCCTTGTTAAAGTAATGCAGTGCATTAGGGCTGCTCGATTATGGCAAAAATGATAATCATGATTATTTTCACTGAAATTGAGATCACGATTATTTGACGATATTTATTTAACCCTTTAAGACCTACCATAGAACCAAGTCCACCAGAGCTTATATTATTTTATTTTTTTTTACATGTTGTAGTGCCATTTGTGGGAGCATTTCAAGTTGCTATACATCAATACAACTGTTATAGCCCATATTTTAATAATATGTATGCATTAAGTCCATAGTAATTACATAAATTGCAAAAAAGTACAATAAACTACAAAAAAAATTGAAAATCGCTTTTGTTTTGTTTACATATATTTCTACTTGGAGAAATTTAAGAGGTTTATCCCTCAAAACTTTAAATACAATAAAGTTGCAAAAAAATAGTTTCCCACCACAGGAAATTTATTTTGAGTGTCTTCATAGTTTTATTTTGGAGATACAGCAATTTTTATATACTGCAGGAAAAACAAAAAACAATCCTATGATGCAAATTTGCAAAGAAAACAGCATGTGCATCATTTTACTGTGGGAAGTGTTACGAACAGCTGATAGGAACGGCAAAGCGTGTTTCTGGAATATTATGTTTTTGTTCCTGCAAGCGCTTTTTATGCAATTTTTGCAAAGCTATATGTGGAACGAAACCGTGACCTAGGACAAGCTGATGGCATCAGATGTAAGTACAACTCCTCCGGTTTCATATGCAAAACAAATTATTGCGCTAGCTTACACGGTTCAGATTCTACAGGGATTTAACAATAGTTACGCAAAACGGAGCGTGCTGCTCTGACCGGCTTTAAAGGGTTAACAATGACTTTAAAAAAATTATATAAAATGGTGTGCAACACCACTGAAGTTTTTTTTTTTTTTTAAATTCTCTTTTCAACCAACGGCAGTCACTCTCCAAATAACTTCTGCTTAGCTTTCCGAGCTTCCCTCGGGTCCTCTTAATCAGCGGTCTCCACCCTTTTTTGCGCCACGGACTGGTTTATGCCCGACAATATTTTCACAGACGGCCTTTAAGGTGTCGCGGATAAATGAGGGAGGGGCTAATAATCGGCTCAGTCATTTTTAATGATCGTTGAAAGCCCAGATCGTAATCGTGATTAAAATTCGATTAACTGAGCAGCCCTACAGTGCATGCAAATTTTCTCCATTAAAATATCTGTTTTATCATATTATTGTAATCAAAGCAAGTAATTCTAGTTTCCAGAACTGCATCATTGAACAACACAGTAGCCTACAAAGCAAGCCACAGTCAGCTATTGCCACTTTACACTTTGACAAGGTAGGTAGTACCAAGGTAGTACAAAATTAATGACTTAATTTAATTATTTGAAAAAATTATGTGAAAATGACGTTAGTTTCATTTAAAGCAGTTAGTGGCAGTGACCTGCTTTTTCTAATTAATGTGAAACCAGCTATACTGGGGAACATGACACTGGCAACGATTTTACTGTGGAGAGAAGGAGAAAGGCTGTTAGTCACAACAGCAGTTTTGGAGGTTAGCACAGACTCAAAAACAAGAAGTGGGGACCTCTTGCAATGTGCTCTCTGGGGAGGTAAGCAGTGAATGAGTCTCTGGGGCCTTGGGAAATGCTTTTGGAAGAACAGTAATCCAAGAGGTATTGTTGTCAGTCAACCCAGATGCAGGAATAGATGTGGGCCTTATGGAGGTTGCCCTCTGAGTTAGTTTGGGTGGAGGGCTAAAGGAATTGTAGTTCAGTGTGACCAGGATGTAGCTCCTCAGTTCATCAGGCAGTCAAAATTCACAAATGCCTTGGCCCCTCTTTGAAGTGGTCCCTATATATACAGTGGTCCCTACAGTGGTCCCTTGTTTATTGCGGGAGTTATCTATATAACTGTTTGTGACAAACACAGGAAACACTTTTCTTGCTGGGTTGCTGGGTGTGTTATTTAAAATATCTAACTTTTTATTGCAAAAACGGACATGGGTCATACACATCAAGGCAGGCAGCAAAGCATACAAACCAGGCAAGGTTAAGTAAAAGACAAAATCCCCAAACATGCCACAAGCTCATACAAATAGAAACTGACTATTACCTAATATTAGATATTATATTATATTATTTGCTAACAAAAATAAATTACCTTCTATTGCTTGGTAATTATTGTTATGGTTAGTAAAATACTGTCTGAACCCCTGTGAGTGCTAGTTGTGTTGCCCTTATCTAGAGTTTGTATTACAATCTGTGTTGTGCTGGAAACCAGTCATTTATTGACCTTGGCAATTAGTGGACTCCTACTTGATTAAAGAGACTACCCTCTTTAAGACCCCATTCAAGTCCCAGCCAAGTGTAAATATGTTAAGCTGCAGATGTGAGAACGCCCTTGGTAAAAAAAAAAATTTCACACTTTGTTGTGTGGTTTCTGAAATGAGAATGTTGCTCTAAACCTGTATGACAGATCTGGCTGGCCACAGACTCTTACTGACCTGAATTCTAT